GCTCAGTGGATTGAGCACTGGCCTGCAAACCCCAAAGGGTTGCTGGTTCAATTCCAGTCAGGGCACATGCCTTGGTTGAGGGCCAGGTCCCCATTGGGGGGACACAAGAGGCAAACACACATTGATGTTTCTCTTCTTTCTCCCTCCCTTCCCCTCTCTCTAATAATAAATAAATCAAATCCTAAAAAAAAAAAAAAAAAAAAAAGAACAAAAAACCCCAACCTAAATTCAAGTGTTGTCCTTGAAATTCATTAAGGAACAGAACATAGATTTCATTGTTGCAAGGGAGTGATTTAAAAACTCACATTTTATTTGTACCTCATGAAGCAGATGGCTTATTAAAACTACTTGTATATCAAAAATTATACTTATTACAAGGCAGGACAGCTATTTATGAAAGATTCAGTTGACAGACAACAGATTGCGAACCGTTTCACTTCTAGTATTGATCTGACCATATACAAGTGAACACAGAATATAAATAACCCTGAATACATCTATGATGGAAGAACTCTTTACTGGAACTTCAATTTTAGTATAAGCCACTCCTTTGGGAGTAAACATTTCAAATACTATGCTCTGCTTTTCTTTTTTTTTTTAATCATTACTTCTCCCTATACATTTTTTAGGGCAATGATGAGTAGGGCTTTGGCACAGGAGACTCTTTGAATGCCATTTGGTTGAACTGATGTTCATGGCAATTACTGTTGTTACCATTAGAGGTAATAAAAATATTTAAGAATTCAAAAATTCTGCACCAGTTACTTATTACCAAATGTTTATTGAAGTCCTAAATGAGTAATTTGGACACTGATCTCATTCTCAGGGTGCTTCTATTTTGGTAAGACTCAAGGTGTACAGAAATAACAGGACAGCAAGGTAGAAAGTGTTGAGGGGCACCTTGAAATGGCTGTGCTCTTAGATCAGGCAAAGGGGCTCCTGTCCTGGACTTTTGAGCTCTGGACAAAGAGAACAAGTCCACAAGGAATCTGAGCTTTCTCTCCTCCCACTCCTAGACTGTGTTGGGGTGTGTGAGGTTCCAGAATCCCATGCATAAGTGGCTCCCTACTCATCTTCCCACGTGTGCACTGCCCAGCTGGTACGCGTAGGGGTGGTCCAAGGTATGGCCAGAGGAGGGCTGTTGGCAGTGGTTGCTGACAGGAAGAATTTGTAAATGAGAGCCAACTCTCCCTGTACTCCCTTTAACAATTTCTTAGCTGCTTTAGCAACTTTTAATATTTATAATATCTATGAGGGCCTCCAATTACTCTTGCCCTGGAGACCCACACGTGTTAGGGGCAGAGTGGCCTGGCTGTGGGAATTCAGGAGAAGGGGAGATTCGCCTTGGCAGAGCCTGGGAAGCTTCACTGGGGGAGTGGCGCTCGGGCGTGAGAGGTGAGAGAAGGGAAGGAGGAAGAGGAATTTCCGGAACAGGGACCATCACACTCAAAGGCATGGAGACTAAAAACGTCAGCTTATATGTGGGAAGTCTAGCTTTTCATGAGGAAACCAGGAGAGGAAGAGTAGAAACTAGATTATAAAAGGAGAAGAAGACCAGTCATGGGCAGTGTAGAAGGCTCAGTCCTGTTGCAATGTCACATAGTCTCAGCACAGGAGAATCCATTTAGGTGGACTGATATTCACAACGTCTGATAGTCATGCTGGCAGATGAAAGCCTTTGAACTTCCTTTGGCAGGCAGTAGGGGGTCATTGTAAGTCTGAGTGGTTTTGATCATGTCTACTTTGTCAGGCGAGGGCTCTGGCTTGCCATGAAGATGGCCAGTCTGGGAGACTGGAAGGGTGGACATCAATGTGCTGGCAACAGTATAGAACAGAGAAAGGACAGCAGGGAAGGCAGAGAAGAGACATGTTTGAGATGATAGAAAGAAGTAGGTAGAGAAGGGAAAGGAAAGTGACTGCAAGACTTTGTGCCTGGATTCTTAAAGAGGTTGGTGATGTCTTGATGAAAAAGATGATTTTTATTGGAAAATGGAACATTTTGTTCACAGTTTGAAGGCAGAGCTGACAGAATTGCTGACTGAATGTGGGGTATGAGAGAAAGGAGTTAAAAATTATTCCAAGGATATAGTCAGTAATATTGTAATAACTATGTATGGTGCCAGGTGAATATTGGAAATAACAGGGGGAACATTTGGTGAAACATATGATTGTCTATCCACTATGTGGTACACCTGAAATTAATACAAAATAATATTGAATGTAAACTATAATTGAAAAGTAAAATTTCAATTAAAGAAATGATTCCAAGGTTTGTGAGCTGAGCAAATGTAGGGACAGAGTTGCCATAATAGCAAAGGCTGGGAAGACCATTTTAAGGAGGCTTTGCTGGTGTGGAAGGAGCCTTTGGTGGTTGCTTGACCGTCTCTGCCATGCCAACACAGAAGTGTGACCCAATCCAATCCAATCCCGGGACGATAGTGGACACCCTGATGGGCAGTGGGCGGTAGGGCTGAGGTTAGAAGGAAGAAAGACATTAGATTTGGGTATATGGCTTGAAGTTGTACCTGTCCACTAGCCATTAGCATAAACACCCACATTTTTATAATACGTTGTCCACAGATTGGTTGTGCCTAGAGGAAACAATAAAAAACTTTAATGACTTTGATCAGTAATTAATGACCTGGCTGGTGTGGCTCAGTGGTTGGAGTGTTGTCCCATAACAGAAAGGTCTTGGGTTTGATTTCTGGGCAGGGCCCATACATACGTTGCGGGTTCATCCCTAGTCCAGGTGCATAAAAAGGCAACCAATCCATGCTTCTCTCACATTGTTGTTTCTCTCTCTCCCTTCCTGTCTCTAAAAAAGCAAATGAAACTGTCTTCAGATGAGAAATAACAGTGGAACATCCACTGGATATATGGAACAGAAGAATATGATATGAGGAATAATAGAATGCAATACATGCACCTCTTTGATAAACAGATACCTGCATTTCCAAGGTAGTCATCTTACTCGGACTTAAGTCTTTGAATAGCTCATATGTCCAATGTCTTGGAGGCACCCAACAGTAATATGTGTGTAGACCGATGAGGGCTTTTAGCATATTACAGGCATATCTAAGTTGCTAATTAATGTTTTTCAAAGGAGAACACAGAAATAAAGACGGATTTGTCAGCTGTATGGTAGGACAATGACCGGGTCTAGTTTATCTTAGTACTTACAGGCTTTGCACTGGCATTTCCTGGATTCTGGGTCTAACACTGTGTTCTCTATCCTCCAGGCTTTCTAAACACAAGCATTTGAATATTAAGTTTATTCTTCTTTCATATTCCATTATGTGTTTAGAAGTCTCAACCCAAACCATTTTTGAACTGTAAGACACTCTTGACCTGTAAATTAAAATTTTGGCCAATTGCATAATTTGGCACACACCCTTCGGCATGTCCTGAGTTCCTCTGCTTTTTTGCAAACCTTGCTCTGTGGGGATTACCTGGGTCACAATTCTTTGGGTGGGTAATGTCCTAACCAGCGCCCACAGAGTTTATCCTTTCTGGGCGGTCCGGAAAGGTAGGGCAAAAGGTTCCTAAAATGATGTTATAAAATGGGGGCTACAGAAGTAACAGAGAAGGTGTGGAGCTTTAAGAATCAGCAGATTTTAAAAAAATTATTTTTCAATTACAGTTAACATTCAGCATTATTTTGTATTAGTTTCAGGTATACAGCACAGTGGTTAGACAACCGTATACTTTACTGTGTTCCCCATGATATTTCCAGTTCCCAGCTGGCGCCATACATAGGTATTACAATATGATTGACTACATTCCCTAAGCTGTACTTTACCTCCCTCTGATTATTTTGTAACTACCAATTTGTACTTAATCCCTTCAGTTATGTCAGCACCCCCCTCATCAACCGCCTCCCCTCCAGCAACCATCAGGGCTTTTTCTGTATCTGTGAGCCTGATTCAGTTTCGTTTGATCATTTATTCTGTTCTTTAGATTCTACATGTAAGTGAAATCATATGGTATTTGCCCTTCTCAAAAATCAGCAGCTTTAAAAGTAAGCAAACGAAGACTGTCGTTGAAACAGTGATCGCGGGCTCGGGGAGGGGGGGAGGCTAAACCTGGTCTTGGAGTTTACAGTGGGAGGTGCGGCCTTGGAGGCTTAAAAGACAGTTCACCGCCAACCGTTGTCTACAAATATTGCTGGATCGGCCCATCGACGTTTCCCTCTAAGGGGGCTCACCTCCACCTGGACATCTGCCGACAGGTCAAGTTTCACTAACGCCATATACTTGAGGCAAAACCCAAAACTACATACTTCCTCTCTTTCTTCCTTCCCCTCTCTCTTCTCAGCCTCTTATTTTTTCTTTATTATGTATTTATTTTTTATTTCTATTGTTTTCCTTTACTTCGATACCTTCCTTTCCCTTTGTCAGACAACTACCCACCCCCACCCATCCCACTCCGGCTCGGCTCCTCCTTTTCATCTCCAGGCGAATCGCTGGCTCGCTCCTCTGCTCCCTTCCTTCGCGCCCGCCCTCTCGCCAACTCTGATCCTCCCTGCTCCCTTCAAGCTTCGGGAAAGGGTCTCGGTCCTGCCATCCTTCACTGTCCTAGGCGGAGACCACCGCACCCCGGGTCTCTCCTCTCCTGGGCGGCTATACCGAGTGACCTCCCCAGCTCCGGGCCCCCGCCGCCCCTCCAGCGCCTCCCCGTGTTCCAGCCGCACACTGGCCCAAGCGGCCCACAGCTTCCCGGGTGGCCGGGCCTCCCCAGAGTTGCCCCGCCCAGGTCCAGCTCCGCCCCAGGCCGCTGCTCTGTGATTGGCCTCCCACTCCCTCCTCCCCGGGCTCCTCTCCTCCCCTTCACCCAATGGGCACCACCACCTGGTCCAAAAATTCCCCCGAGGGCAACGAGAGACTGCAACCACCAGCTCCTTCCCAGTGGTGTTGACGGCCGTGGCGGGGCGAAGAGAAGGGAGGGGGCTCGGGGGAGGGAGGAGGAGGAGCAAAGGTGTTGGAGAGAAAACTTCTGAAAGGAACAGGAAACCTGCTGGGGAGGCGGCCACTGCGATCTCGGGGCGCCAGGGCTGCGCACATCGCGGGGTGTCCGCGGGCTGCGACTTTGCTCCTGCCAGCTTCCCCCGGCGCGGGGCAGGGCTGAGCCGACGATCGGGTCGTTCAGGCTGTGCCCTCTGCAGCCGCTCTCGGCGTGGCAGTCGTGCGCTCCGTTCCGCTTCTGTCGCGGCAGCTCCCTGGAGAGGGCGGCGGGGACGCAGAGAAGAGGAAGGACGTCTACTTTGGAGCATGAAGCAGTATGTCTGATAAAATGTCCAGCTTCCTCTACATAGGGGACATCGTGTCCCTGTACGCGGAGGGCTCGGTCAACGGCTTCATCAGCACCCTGGGGTAAGCCGAGGGCGGGCCGGGCAGCGTTGGTGTCCCCCTGGAGCTCATCCAGTTCCTCCGCGCGCCGCTGCGTGCTCCCGCTGCCGCCGAGCGTGGCTCGGCGGCTGGGCAGGGTCTGCGCCCGGGACAGCGCGCTGTGCTCGGCTCGCCTGCGCGCAGGAAGCTGCCCCGAGAAGCAAGATTTTCTCATGAAACTTCATCTTCAACTCAGAGACACATCCGAAAAGGAGGAAGTGATCAGAAGCCCTGAGACAGGCCCTGTGAAGAAGTCTTCGCTGGCTTCTGCACGGGTTAATTACCATGTTTGTTTTCCCTTAAAGGTGAAACAATACACCTCCTCTCCCCATCTTTTCTCGCTACCACTCTCAACCCTTGTGTCTCAGGGCCGGGTTTTTAAGAGCTGAGGATAAAAACCTGTGGCCTTGGACATGAAACTCAAGTGAAGCAGTGAGCCAAAGTGTGGCTTTGCCCTGCGGGAGCAGCAGCCCGTGCCCTCTTCCCTTAAGTAATTTCCTTTTGGCCTTGCCAAACGGGGACTCGCCCCGCCGTCGGGGGCAGCCAAGGCCCCTCAGGGCTCTGGGACCTAAGGGGTAATGTCGACCTCAGTGCTAGAACTCAGATGTGCCTTCTCCACTTCCCTGGGCCTTGGCCCACTGAAATGATGAACCTCTCCAGGAACTCAACCAAGTGCAGTGCTCTTGAGATTCGTGTTGATTTATGAATGGGATACATGTATGTAACAGTATGTTAGATGGTTAAATAGGATTTCCTAGATTACTAGTATATTTTTTTTCTGTTTTGATTGAGAATACCAGTTCGCAGTTTAAATGCACACTGCAACACACAGGTGCACATATATTGTTTTTGTTACTTTGTGATCTCTGCATGTAGAGTGCTGAGTCTTAGAGAATTCAGGCTGTGGAGCTGGTGGTGGCTGGTCACTGTTTTCTGCTGTTAGGTTTTAGGGTCCATGACTTAACCTCCCGTGGCCCTAGACTGTGGCTCCCAGCCATGTTACAAGGAGTGGCGTCTGCTTGACAGGGCACGTCGAAGTCACCAGGGCTTCCACTGTTTCTGTTATTTGTGCATCTTCCCACCCCCACTGGGTAAAAGAAGAAAGATTTAATTTAATCCCTCCAAGATCAATGTTATTTCTTTGTGAAACCGAAGCATAGGGGGAAAAAACCCAGCCCGGCCAGTGCTTATGCTGAGTTTGTAAGTCTTCTGAGAGAATTCGTAAGGTAAGTTCAGTGTTTGGGCCCCCACCAACATTTTGCAGATGAACTCTGCTGCATTTCACACTTCTCCACAGACTCTGCCTGTGGCAGTTAAGCAGGGTGTGCGCGGAGGTCAGAGAGCTTGGGGTCAAATCCTGACTTCTCCACTTGTGAACTTTATGACCCAGGCAAGTTGCATAATCGCTCTGTATCTCAGTTTCCTTATGTTAGAAAATAAAATAAATGGGAACAGTAATGGTTTCTGTCTCAGAGGGTTGTGGTGAGGAAGAAATTAATATATGTAAAGTGTTTAGCGTGGTACCTGTCAATTAATAAGCACTTATATGAAGTGTTTACTGTTATAACTGTGAGCAGTAGTTACAGTTGTGGACAAAACAGTAAAAAAGAATTAGGAATAAAGTGTAAAACTTAGACAAACAAAAGGTCATGTTTTTATAGTGTGTGTGTAATTATACCCATATGCATATATATGTACATTAAGGGCTTTGGATGGGAAATCAGGAAACTACAACTTTAGCAGTTGTGGAGTCTGCCCTACTGGTTTTAGAGATAGAAAAACTGAGGGGAAGAGAAATGAAGAGACAGACCTACCTAAGAAGCAGAGGACAGTAATGCCAGCATTGGAACTGGAACCTTGTTTTCAGATTCTCATTCAAGTGCTAGTTTCTTTGGTTGCACATCATAATCTTTAAGCCTTGAGTAAAAAATAAGCTTGGCCTTTCATGTAGCATATATGTTTGTATAAATATTTCTTATTTGTATTCAGTAGTTCTTGCTGATGTTTTGAAAACTGAGTTTCCTTAGAATGTACTTGTGCAGTATTATTTTTCTATTTACAAATTGAGTCTTGTTAAGGTAAGTATGGTAAGACTTTTTGTGCAGCTACTTCTCAATTGAGGAAGGATCTTTAGGAATGCCATGTTGGTGAAGCTTGGTGTTTTGATTTGATATTATTATTTTTAACCTGTGGAACCTCATTGACCTCAGATTTTTAGGAGTTAAAAAGCCCGCAGGAGCTTGTCCCATGCCACATAAAATGTTATCTAGGCAGAGTAGCATCACCTGCTATATTTTCTTAGAATGCAAGTGGTAGAGATTTATTCTGCAAATTGGTTTTAGGGCTTTGAAATCAAAGTAGCATGGTAGTTATAATTTTATTTCATTATATTGTTGTAGGGACATTATTTATACACTTTCTGTACTAAAGACAGAGTGCATACTTCTACCTGAGTTTCCTTGCTCTTCTGTTAGGTGAAGGTCTTGGTCTAGATCTGCTGATTAGCCAGGTGACCTTGTTCGTGTCATTTATTCCTTTTGTGTGTGTGTGTCAGCTTGTCTTTGGAGACTAAGGATGGTATACGCTTTGCCCATCCCCTTGGGGTATTGTAAAATTGAGTGAAAGAGACAGAAATGAAAAAGCCCAATTCTTTTTTGACAGTTACTAGGAGAATCCACATTATGCTTATATTTTTGTAGCCCTTACATTTCTTCAAAAGGTGTGTGAATTGTTAAAGTGAATCAGGAGCTGGACTGGAGGCATTGGCATTGTAGGTAGTCAAAAGTTTGTTCCACTTAATATTAAAAACTTAATGGAAGAGCTAAAAATGAGGCTTAAAGGTTCTGCTTTTTATTTTAGATCTGTATCTATTTGACATTTTTGACAGCAGGATGATTTTTTATTTTTATTTTTAAATTTTTATCCTTACCGGAGGACATGCTTCTTGATCTTAGAGAGAGGAGGAGGGAAGGAGAGAGAGGAGATAGAAACATCAATGCCAGAGAGAAACATCTGTTGGTTTCCTCTCCCACACACCCTGACTGGGAGGAACCTGCAACCCAGGCATGCGCCCTGACTGGGAACTGAACCTGCGACCTGTCCAACTGAACCACAGTGTCCAGGACAGGATGGTTTTTTTAAAAAATTCAACTATGGAGGGTAATTAATAAGAACGGAATTTACCCAGCATTTCAAGGTAATTAATATTTATCTGCAAATAAATTTTGCCTGATTTTTAACACTGAAGGTATAAATAAATTTGGGAGGCTATACATTGTTATTATTTAGCTTGGGAAATTTTTGCAATAAGGTAACACATTTTTCAGCTGAAAAAAAATCACCATGTTTTACTGTGTTAGAGTTTAGCAGGCCTTCCTTAGAGACTCTTCCAGCTGGAAATGTGGAGGGATTTTCTTAGGTTCTGTGGTGCAGCTTGTAAGTTTGATTTCTCAGTCTGTGTAAAATTAGAATGCCCCAGTTGCAAAGATTTGCATTTTCCTTTTTTTTCTCTAGTTATTCTTTAACCAGGATTTATCTGATGTTTCTGAATCTTGAATTGTTGTAAGCTGAAGTATTATTCTCCCAGTTTGTGTAGGTGCAAGAGGGACCTGCTTTGTATTTTCTAGCTTAATTTTTCATTTAAGGGTCTATTTTGGAAACACATCGATTTAAGGAAAACTGCTTTACATCTTTCTGCATGAAGATTGTGAATATATTTTAAATAAATGAATTTTTTGCTACTGCTACATTTTAGGGCTATAGTTTTTATTTTTTTTCTTTTAAAAGGAAAGGAGGAAGTTTTGGAATGCGCTGTACAATTTCAAATGCAGTATCAATTGTCCTTTTCCTCTTCCTCCATTATCTTTATACTGAGATTTACTTCCCTGGTTGTTACCACATTAGACACTATATTTCTGGGTACATACATTTGATCAATGATCAGGCGCCATACCGTGGGAGTGAACATAGCCGGATTCCCAGGATGAGTGGAATAGTGGAGGCAGTGAAAGGTATATGATTCCTTCTCTGCAAGGTTGACAGGTTAGTAAATGACAAGTGTGCGTATGTACTGGGATGTGTGTGTGTGTGTCTATATTCACATGTTTAAGTGATTACTGCCTTTGGCTTGAAATGTTTTCTCAGGATCTACCAAGAATCAACATCCACTAATTCAGGTCTCAGAAAACTGTTAGGTGACCATCACGTTGAGGCAGTGACTGCAAAGCATCATAATAGTCTCATGAGGTATAAGAAAGCTTTGATCAACTGCATATATAGCGGTGGTCCCCTAAGATTATAATGGAGCTGAAAAATTTCTGTTACCCAGTGACTTCTTAACCATGGTAACGTCTTAGTGCAAAACACCACTCACATGTTTGTGGTGATGCTGGTATAAACAACCTACTGCACGGTAAGTTGTATAAAAGTATAGCACATGCAATCACAGCAGTAGGCTAGAACTTCTGGGTTGTGTTAGTGTAGCCTATGATGTTCTCATGAGGAAATCACCTAAGGACGCATTTCTCAGAAAATGTCCCTGTCATTAAGAGCACATCACTGTAGCTTCTTAGCCAGAGAGATTGGGGCCCTCATTTTTACTTCCTGCTTGAATTTGGCCAGTTCATTGAACTTTTCAGTGCCTGTGTTTCATGTTCAAAGAGGGACGTCAGGTAGGGTGATGATAGGTCACACAGCTTATAATTCTGACTTAGTTCCTTAGATGGACAAAACTGTGCAAATGGTTACATTTTATTGTTTTCAATTATAGTTCCTTAAATTTCCCTGCCTGATCTTTTCTCCTGCTTAAACTTTTTTATATTTAAATGCTTACAGATTGGATTTATTATCTTTTCGTCTTTTACTCAATTATGCTACTGTTGTTGTTTAAAAATGTTTTCTTAATACGACTGTTTGATTAGCGGAGAGTCATAGATGAATCAAGGAATGGTTATAATCATCTTTTATTTTTGCATAATTTGTAACTT